AACCAAGAGGTTAAAGCAGGTGGGTGAGAAGACGTTGTATTTCCGCCTCTCCACCTTCTTTAACCCCTTGGACCCCGCAGTTGTGGGGCGCTTGAAGAGGGGCCCCATTTAGTTGAATGGGTCGCAGTTGGCGGGTGGTAGCACCCACCAAAAGCACCAGGGGGGTGTAATTCCGGTTGTGATATATGTACACCCTTGGCTGCTGCCTCTGATTGGCTGTCCACCACTGGTGGGATATCTGGGAGGGTGGGACTGAACACACATCAACTCCTCCCTCTTGTACAGTGTGACAGCCAGGAAGGTTGTGGTGCCTCTGAGCCCAGGTCTGGTGTACAGCCGGCTGCCAGGAGAAATGCACATCTACTGATCCCACCTCCTCCAACTACAGTGCAGGAAATGCGTATTTTCTCCCCATCTGATGCTGAATGTTCCCCCCTCACACAGAAACGATCGGTCTAACAATGGAATGTTCGCCCCTCACAAAGAAATGATCGGTCTAACAATGGAATGCTCGCCCCTCACACAGAAATGATTGGTCTAACAATGGAATGCTCGCCCCTCACACAGAAATGATCGGTCTAACGATGGAATGTTCACCCCTCACACAGAAATGATCGGTCTAACAATGGAATGTTCACCCCTCACACAGAAATGATCGGTCTAACAATGGAATGTTCACCCCTCACACAGAAATGATCGGTCTAACAATGGAATGTTCGCCCTCCACACAGAAATGATCGGTCTAACAATGGAATGTTCGCCCCTCACACAGAAACGATCGGTCTAACAATGGAATGTTCGCTGTAACACTGAGAGACAGAATACAACAACAAATTCAGCAGAAATGCGTCTAACAAATGATGACGGATCTGCATGTTCATGAGGGAAAGAAGGATTTGATCCCCTATCATTCAGCAGGATTTCTGGCTCCCAGGTGTCTCTCATACAGGGAACAAGCTGAGATTAGAAGCAGTCTCTTAAAGGGAGTGCTGCTAATCTCATTGTGTTACCTGTATAAAAGACACCTGTCCACAGGAGCCATCAAACCATCAGATTCCAAACTCTCCACCATGGCAAAGACCAAAGAGCTGTCCAAGGATGTCAGGGACAAGATGGTAGACCTACACAAGGCTGGACTGGGCTACCAAACTATGGCCAAGCAGCTTGGTGAGAAGGTGACAACAGTTGGTGCAATCATTCACAAATGGAAGAAACACAAAACAAGTGTCAGTCTCCCTAGGTCTGGTGCCCCATGCAAGATCTCACCTCGTGGAGTGTCAATGATCATGAGAACAGTGAGGAATCATCCCAGAACTACACGTGAGGATCTTGTCAATGATCTCCAGGCAGCTGGGACCACAGTCACCAAGAAAACAATTGGTAACACACTACGCCGACAAGGACTGAAATCCTGCAGTGCCCGCACGGTCCCTCTGCTCAAGAAAGCACATGTCCAGGCCCGTCTGAAGTCTGCCACTGAACATCTGAATGATGCAGAGGAGGACTGGTGGGAAGTGTTGTGGTCAGAGGAGACCAAAATCCAGCTCTTTGGCATCAACTCAACTCGCCGTGTTTGGAGGAGGAGGAATTCTGCCTATGACCCCAAGAACACCATTCCAACTGTGAAACATGGTGGTGGAAACATTCTGCTTTGGGGGTGTTTTTCTGCTAAGGGGACATGACAACTGCACCGCATCAAAGGGACGATGGACGGGGCAATGTACCCTCAAATCTTGGGGGAGAACCTTCTTCCCTCAGCCAGGGCATTGAAAATGGGTGGTGGATGGGTGTTCCAGCATGACAATGACCCAAAACACACGGCCAAGGCAACAAAGGAGCGGCTCAAGAAGAAGCACATTAAGGTCCTGGAGTGGCCTAGCCAGTCTCCACACTTTCATCCGATTGAAAATCTGGGGAGGGAGCTGAAAGTTCGAGTTGCCAAATGTCAGCCACCAAACCTTAATGACTTGGAGAGGATCTGCCAAGAGGAGTGGGCCAAAATCCCTCCTGAGATGTGTGCGAACCTGGGGGCCAACTCCAGGAAACGTTTGACCTCTGATGGCCAACAAGGGATTGGCCACCAAGTACTACGTCATGTTTTGTGAAGGGGATCAAATCCTTCTTTCCCTCATGAACATGCAGATCCGTCATCATTTGTTAGACGCATTTCTGCTGAATTTGTTGTTGTATTCTGTCTCTCAGTGTTACACTGAACAGTGGTGAGTGGTGGCACTTATCTGGTCCTGTACACGTTTTCACTGGCTATATACTTTGGATCTGTTGTATTTCACTTATTGGAGTGATATTTATTTCACAATATCTCTAGTGGTGTTGTGTGGATCTTCAATTTCACGTGTTGATTTATAATATTGCTCATGTTTTATATCACTAGTGCTTTTGCATGATATCACATAATATTATATTTTGAAAGATAATGCACTATATTTAGTATATTATTTTTTTTTGAGGTATCTTGGATTGGAGTGACGAATCGGATATTTATCACAGCTGGAAGATTGGATAGTGTGGACAATTTTGGACTTTGTATTGTGGACATCTTTGATATATTGGGAATGAGGGGTAGGATTTGAACATTCAGCATCAGAAGGGGAGCAAATACACATTTCCTTCACTGTATGTGTACTGGGACCTATGTCTTCACTAAGTCTATCGCTTCCTGGACACACCCCCTCCCTGGACACACCCCCTCCATGTATAATGCCCTCCCTGGACACACCCCTCCCTGTATAATCCCCTCCCTGGACACACCCCTCCCTGTATACATATACTGCTGGAATGAGTGTCACTATGCATCCAGTTTGTGTATTTCAGCCTGGTATTGTTCTCTATAGGACCAAAATACACCCATATATACGAATACTGGGCTCAGAGGGAGGAGCTGGGAATTGGGTAGGGGTGGAGCCAATGGGCAGTTGTAGAAGGCGTGTAGGGGTGGAGACAAGGGGCGGTTCTAGGATAGGGGGAGGGGGCGGATACAGTATATAGTGTATATATAGAGGAGTATATAGTATATTGTATACTTTCTATCATCAGTAGAAGTAAAGATGGCGGCTGTCCCAGAGAAATGCAGAGCGCTGTGTTCACCAATCACACGCAGAGAACACTGACCATCTGACCTCTGCACTCAGCCTTACCTCACTGTAGTCATGTGGCCTGTCAGGTATTTGGCTCCGCCCCCTTCCCAGCCACACTGCCCTGCAGTACCTTCACCTGCCAATAGATGTCCTCAGTGAGCACTGCCCCACCCATTGTGATTGTATCCTAGCAACAGGTGAGGAATGAGCATGGGTTAATCATACATTGTATGGGGGGGGGGGGGGGGGGGGGGGGGGGGAGACATTATTATGGGATGCCCCCCCCCATGGTTGGATGAAGCTCTGACCCCATCTATTGTACAAGGCTTACAGATACTGGCTTCAGTGTTCTCTAAAGGGGGGAGGAGCTGGGAAGTGGGTGGGGTCAAAACGGCAGTTGTAGGGGGCGGAGACATGTGTGACCTAGAGGCGGGGGATGAGCTTCTGCACCCTTTCTCTAAGAAAAAAAGCCGAGCTAGTATATACACAGTATACTAGAAGTATATAGATTAGTGTATACCAAGTGTGTGTATAAATATTACCATCATCCTAGTATACTGTATATAGAGGAGTATATATAGAGGAGTATATAGTATACTGTATATAGAGGAGTATATATAGAGGAGTATATAGTATACTGTATATAGAGGAGTGTATATATAGAGGAGTATATAGTATACTGTATATAGAGGAGTATATAGTATATTGTGTATAGAGGAGTATATAGTATACTGTATATAGAGGAGTATATATATATATATATATATATATATATATATATATATATATATATATATATATATATATATATATATAATGTTGTATACATACTTTCTATGATCAGTAGAAGTAAAGATGGCGTCTGTCCCAGAGAAATGCAGAGCGCTGTGTTCACCAATCACACGCAGAGAACACTGACCATCTGACCTCTGCACTCAGCCTTGCCTCACTGAGGTCATGTGACCTGGCAGGTATTTGGCTCCGCCCCCTTCCCCATCCACACTGCTCTGCAGTACCTGCACCTGACAATAGATGTCCTCAGTGAGCACTGCCCCACCCATTGTGATTGTATCCTAGCAACACACGAGGGATGAGCATGTTATGAGATGGTGATAAAGGGTTAATCATACATTGTATTGGGGGGGGGCTCATATACCCTGCGTCACGTCCCCAGTCCCTTCCCGTACCCCTGTTCACCCTTCATATCCAGCTGCAGGTCGTTGTACAATAAAATGTTCATCTTACTATGCCAAGGCCGGTTCATACAAGCTGCAGTCCCTTCCATCCCTCTGAAAAGCAATGCGCGTTGGAACGCTCTTCGGAGTCAATAGCGAAGTGGCAAAGATGCGATTCATCACCTGCTGTGTTTTAACCCTAGAAATGCCTTGCCTGTGCTTGCAGTGCGACACCCTTCCCTTGAATGGGTCACGTTTGGCGCTGGTACCACCTCCTGAATGCGATCTGCAGTCGTGGCCGCAGCACGTGTACAGCCCTGAGGGGGGGGGGGCAGTAAAACTACAGTTGACCCGTTATCACTACCCCACCATCTGATTATTACCAAGAAATGACCAAAACACCATTTTTGAACCGCTGGTTTATTTTGTCCGATATCAGAACAAACAAGCGCGGCGATCTTCACTTCTATTTACACCAAGAAAAGGCAAAGAAAACATAAAAAACAGAAAAGCACAATAAAAAATAAATTACGTTTCTGTGAGTTCGTGTCTCTAAGTGCTAAAAATGTTTCAAATAAAAAGGTAAATTGGGAGTTTCCTGTACAGACGGAAAAGTGTTCCTTTCACTCGCAGCGACCACTCCGCGTCCGATCGCCATTTTATCCTTCGATATTTGACACCCGAAGGACGGGATTGGTCGCTGGAGGAAAGGAGGAGGAGACATTTCATACTAACGAACGATCACAAAGGAGGACGCGCTCAGGTTCAGGTCGGTCTTCGACGGGTACAGGACCTTCAGGCTGCCGTCCATGTCGGTGATGCGCACTTGTTCCAGCACCAGCTGGGGGCCCTCCACCGGGGGTTCCGGGTTCTGAGACGCAGACTCTTCCGGATCGGAACCGACTTCCTCCTCTCTGTTCTCCAACGTGAATTTATGAAGTTCCGCCATTTTCTGTGTATTGGAAGAAACACCAGAGATAATCAATATCACTAGAAGAAATGTATTGGAAGACACACCATAGAGATGATCAATAATAATACTAGAAAAAATGTATCGGAAGACACCATAGAGATGATCAATAATAATACTAGAAAAAATGTATCGGAAGACACCATAGAGATGATCAATAATAATACTAGAAGAAATGTATCGGAAGACACCATAGAGATGATCAATAATAATACTAGAAAAAATGTATCGGAAGACACCATAGAGATGATCAATAATAATACTAGAAGAAATGTATCGGAAGACACCATAGAGATGATCAATAATAATACTAGAAGAAATGTATCGGAAGACACCATAGAGATGATCAATAATAATACTAGAAGAAATGTATCGGAAGACACCATAGAGATGATCAATAATACTAGAAGAAATGTATCGGAAGACACCATAGAGATGATCAATAATAATACTAGAAGAAATGTATCGGAAGACACCATAGAGATGATCAATAATAATACTAGAAGAAATGTATCGGAAGACACCATAGAGATGATCAATAATAATACTAGAAGAAATGTATCGGAAGACACCATAGAGATGATCAATAATACTAGAAGAAATGTATCGGAAGACACCATAGAGATGATCAATAATACTAGAAGAAATGTAACATTCACATAAAGTGGTTTTTTTTTGTGTTTTCTACACCTTTAACCTCCTCCCTCCTGCCATATAAGGTAATGATGGGTGCAAGGCGGTCCCTCTCGTTCTGGGAGGAGTCATATGACGTCCTCTCATTCTAACCACGCATGCGCAGCTCCGGGGGCGAGCAGCTCAGAGATGCGCTGGGTCCCTCGGACACAGCGGATCACCGATCAACGGAAAGACACGAAGGTGTCGGCTCAGTCATGTGATCAGCTGTGTCCAATCACAGCGATCGCATGTCAATAGGGAAATGCCCTGTAGGCGGGGAGGGGGGTGACAGCGCCCGGGGGGGGGTGGGTGTGACACCGCCTGGGGGGGCGGGGAGGGGGTGACAGCGCCCGGTAGGCGGGAAGGGGTAGGAGTGCCCGGGGGGGCGGGGAGGGGGTGACAGCGCCCGGTAGGCGGGGGAAGGGGGTGACAGCGCCGGGGGGGGGGGGGGCGGGAACGGGGTGACAGCGCCCGGGGGGGGGGGGGCGGGAAGGGGGTGACAGCGCCCGGGGGGGCGGGGGGGGGAAGGGGGTGACAGCGCCCGGGGGGGCGGGAAGGGGGTAGAAGCGCCCGGGGGGCGGGAAGGGGGTAGAAGCGCCTGGTAGGCTAGTGGTTAACCCTTTTGCTGCCAGAGCCATTTTTGCACGTTTAGAAAATTATTTTAGGCCTGAAGATTACACAAAACCCCCAAAATATATATTTTCTGAAAGAGACCCCAGAGAATAAAATAGCGGTACTTCCAATTTTTTATACCACGTGAGATTACCACAAAGGTCCAGGAAATGCAAAATTCCAGTAAAACAAACAAACACACTAAAGTTATTTTTAAGGCACAAAAACACAAATTGCCCATTTTTTTTGTAAAATATAAAAGATGAGTTTCCGCCGAGTAGATGGATACCAAACATGTCAAACCTTCGGGTCATCGGATTATTGTTCTGGAGGAGGTCCAGTGCTACAAATATTGTCCTCACTCCAGCGCGTGTGGAGATATGTTTGGTGTATTGCAATCGATGTTCTCATGTGAAAGCGGCCCCAACGCCTGCATTGATTTCTGTATGTGGGGGCCACAATTTTTTTTTTTGGGGGGGGGGGGGGGGCGTTATATATACATATACACACACAGGGCTATTTTTCCAGTAGGAACGCAGTAATGGCAAGGGGTGCTGGGGGTGGGGGGTGTGTGATCATTGCTGGTAGGGATCTACTGTTGAGGGAGGGGTCAGTTTTTGTTGGAGGGTCTATTGATGGCTGTCTGCTGGGAGATCTATTGGTACTGATGGGGTCTATTTGTAACTGATTGGGGGAGGGGGGGATTATTTCTTGCTGGGGGTATTATGTTGTGGGGGGCAGGGGTGTATTTACAACAAGGCACTTGCTTAGGGCGGCATTTTTCAGGGGGGCAGAAGAAGGGACAACCATGGGAACCAGACGGGATCTGAGAGAGGCTGCTTGATGGTGTATGTAGAGCCAGACTCTCGTTCCCGGGGACGTCCGGAGCTGTGAGGAGGAGTTTCTCTCTATTGCTGGGGGGGGGCGATTGTTGCTGGGAGGGATCTGTTTTTGTTGGAGGGTCTATTGATGGCTGTCTGCTGGGAGATCTATTGTTACTGATGGGGGTCTCCATTTTAAATGTGAGTGTAATATAGATGGGTTTGGGGAATAAAATACTTTAAGGATGAAGCTCTGTGTCTCCAATTTCTCTGTATTGCTGAGGAACGAGTAAAGAGGAACGAAGTAAGCGATCTCCGACAGCTGAAGGAGGGATTAATCCCCGCAGGACATCCAGCACACAAGGGGCCAGCCTGGTCATCCATAGGAGGGACCTCCCATCCATAGGGGGGACCTCACATCCATAGGGGGGACCTCACATCCATAGGGGGGACCTCCCATCCCTTCTATACTGCAACTATTCCTGCAGGTTCCAGGCTTTGGGAAGCACAACGTATGTAGGCATAGAAGGAGGAGAGCGCACATGTCTACTGGTTGGAGGATCACGGAAAGTCGCCAATTGATGATTCATGAATCACGATCACTATTATTGGACTGTTTGATGGGATTATTATTATGAATATTTTGCTAATAATCACATTTTTAGCGTTTGATTTTTAATCACGGCCACTTTATTTGTTATATTTAATTTTGAATTTATGGCAGCAGTTCTCAACCTGGGGGTCACGACCCTTTGGGGGTCACGACCCTTTCACAGGGGTCCCCTAAGACCATCAGAAAACACATTTCCGATGTGTAAAGAGCAGCTACTGTGCTGAAAGCAGCCACATTGGAGGTAAAACGACACTCATGAATTATGATTTCTGGGTAAATAATTTCATGGTGGGGGGGGGGGGGGGGGTCACCACAACATGAGGAACTGTATTAAAGGGTCGCGGCATTAGGAAGGTCGAGAACCGCTGATCTAAGGTGCGTGTTATCACAGATGGAATCATAATATTTATTTATTATTGTTGCTGGGGGTAGTTTGTGGGGGGGGGGGGTGGAAGGAGAGTCTATTGTTGCTGGGGGTAGTTTGTGGGGGGGGGGGATGGAAGGAGGGTCTATTGTTGCTGGGGGTAGTTTGTGGGGGAGGGGGGGGGGAGGAGGGTCTATTGTTGCTGGGGGTAGTGTGTGGGGGGGGATGGAAGGAAGGTCTATTGTTGCTGGGGGTAGTTTGTGGGGGGGGGGGGTGGAAGGAGGGTCTATTGTTGCTGGGGGTAGTTTGTGGGGGGGGGATGGAAGGAGGGTCTATTGTTGCTGGGGGTAGTTTGTGGGGGGGGGGAGATGGAAGGAGGGTCTATTGTTGCTGGGGGTAGTTTGTGGGGGGGGGGGTGGAAGGAGGGTCTATTGTTGCTGGGGGTAGTTTGTGGGGGGGGAGATGGAAGGAGGGTCTATTGTTGCTGGGGGTAGTTTGTGGGGGGGGTGGAAGGAGGGTCTATTGTTGCTGGGGGGTAGTTTGTGGGGGGGGTGGAAGGAGGGTCTATTGTTGCTGGGGGTAGTTTTGTGGGGGGGGGGATGGAAGGAGGGTCTATTGTTGCTGGGGGTAGTAGTTTGTGGGGGGGGGGGGTGGAAGGAGGGTCTATTGTTGCTGGGGGTAGTTTGTGGGGGGGGGGGGGTGGAAGGAGGGTCTATTGTTGCTGGGGGTAGTTTTGGGGGGGGGGGTGGAAGGAGGGTCTATTGCTGCTGGGGGGGGTAGTTTGTGGGGGGGGGGGGGTGGAAGGAGGGTCTATTGTTGCTGGGGGGTAGTTTTGTGGGGGGATGGAAGGAGGGTCTATTGTTGCTGGGGGTAGTTTGTGGGGGGGGGTGGAAGGAGGGGTCTATTGCTGCTGGGGGTAGTTTTGTGGGGGGGGGGTGGAAGGAGGGTCTATTGTTGCTGGGGGTAGTTTGTGGGGGGGGGGGGGTGGAAGGAGGGGTCTATTGTTGCTGGGGGTAGTTGTTTGTGGGGGGGGGGATGGAAGGAGGGTCTATTGTTGCTGGGGGTAGTTTGTGGGGGGGGGGGGGGGGGGTGGAAGGAGGGTCTATTGCTGCTGGGGGTAGTTTGTGGGGGGGGGGGGTGGAAGGAGGGTCTATTGTTGCTGGGGGTAGGAGATCTATCTTCATCAACCAATTCCATACAAATTAAAAATGTTACTTGGCTCTGTATTCTCCCAAATGGGGGCTCCTAAGAGGTGGGTGGGGGGCAGAGGTGACTCAAAGGGGGGGTTCCTGCACTTGTCTGTGTAAAATAATAATCTATGTATAACAATGTATTCTTCTAGTATTTTATTATAGAATTAGAAGTATGAAAAGTAATTATTATTTTATAAAACGTAGCGAGTAACGATCGATGAGCGTCACCCTTCACACAGCCCCTCCCCCATCACACAGCCCCTCCCCCATCACACCACACAGGAGGACCTCCATACACACAACTGACAAGGATATGGGGAGGCGCAATTATGAGCCCCGGGGGTGCCGTTCCCCTGCCCCCCCCCCCCTTTTTTAGATACAACAGATTTGTATCGCGATTCTCCGTTTCATCCCTCTCCCCAGATCGCCGCCTGAGTTTTACTGCCCCCCCCCCCCCCGTACACGTCAGGCACTGCGTTTCGCTGAGCCCCCAGTGAAGAGATTGGGCGCGCCAACCGACCGCGCCCAATCGGGCCGGGCCAACCGACCGCGCCCAATCGGGCCGGGCCTACCGACCGCGCCCAATCGGGCCGGGCCTACCGACCGCGCCCAATCGGGCCGGGCCTACCGACCGCGCCCAATCGGGCCGGGCCTACCGACCGCGCCCAATCGGGCCGGGCCTACCGACCGCGCCCAATCGGGCCGGGCCTACCGACCGCGCCCAATCGGGCCGGGCCTACCGACCGCGCCCAATCGGGCCGGGCCAACCGACCGCGCCCAATCGGGCCGGGCCAACCAAACGCGCCCAATCGGGCCGGGCCAACCAAAACGCGCCCAATCGGGCCGGACCAACCAAACGCGCCCAATCGGGCCGGACCAACCAAACGCGCCCAATCGGGCCGGACCAACCAAACGCGCCCAATCGGGCTGGACCAACCAAATGCATGCAATCAAGCTGGACAGAACACTACAAACCCAACCACACACTATACAATCTGATTGTACAATCTCCTGTAGATCAACAACATCTAACTAATGTAAGTCTGTGCAATCAGATTGTATCAGTCTGTTCTCGTATAATGGAATGTTGGTAAATGTAACCCTTTTGCTGCCACTGATGCATTTCTTCTGTCGGCAGTAGCTGGGGGGGGGGAGGGGGGGGGGAGAGGGGGGGTCGTCGGTGTGACAACAGATCACCCAACGTTTGGTAAATTAGAATGTATGACTGTTTTAATCAACTTCGCATTTTTTTTTCCCCTGAAATTTTTTGTGACAAAAATATTTGTGATTGCCACCGTTTGATTCTCCGGGGTCTCTGCTTTCAGGAAATATACATTTATTTTGGGGGTTTGCCGTAATCTCCAGGCCTAAAACTGTGCAAAAAGGCAGCAAAAGGGTTAAATGAGATTGAAGAGGAATTGTACAATCAGATTGTACCGTCTTTGCACCTATGGAGCCGGTCAAATCGCTGCGACTCGCTGTTTTGAAAAAAAGGTTCCTGCAGATTTTGTGTGCGACTGACAATGACATCTGTGCATGAAGATCGCACGGACCAGCGGCTTCGATTTCAGCTGTAGTCGCGTGATATCAGAGCCGCCGGGCTGCAGAAATTCGGATCAGAGCCGCCGGGCTGCAGAAATTCGGATCAGAGCCGCCGGGCTGCAGAAATTCGGATCAGAGCCGCCGGGCTGTAGAAATTCGGATCAGAGCCGCCGGGCTGTAGAAATTCGGATCAGAGCCGCCGGGCTGTAGAAATTCGGATCAGAGCCGCCAAGCTGTAGAAATTCGGATCAGAGCCGCCAAGCTGCAGAAATTCGGATCAGAGCCGCCGGGCTGCAGAAGTTCGGATCAGAGCCGCCGGGCTGCAGAAGTTCGGATCAGAGCCGCCAGGCTGCAGAAGTTCAGATCAGAGCCGCCGGGCTGCAGAAGTTCGGATCAGAGCCGCCGGGCTGCAGAAGTTCGGATCAGAGCCGCGGGGCTGTAGAAATTCGGATCAGAGCCGCCTCGGATGGCGATTTTAAAGTCACATTCGGTGTGAACGGGGGCTCCATGGATGAAAGTGACCTCTTTCCTCTCCCCTTCACATTCGGTGGCAGTAGACTGGCTGCACACATATTGGCCCATCAGTGGATCTCCAGTCCGGGGCTCAGAGACCCCCAGGAATGTACAGACAACGCACCGACTACGCGGAATCCTATTGGCTCCCAGCGTCCAGGTGACACCACAGAGATGGGCACTTACCTCAATCAGAGCGTCCATCACATCTTTACAGGTCTGCAGGCTGCTGGCGCTGGTCACCTCCAATAGGAGGGCGCGGGTGGATTTTGTGATCTGCAGAACAAAGAACGATGGTCACATGAGGGTGCAACTGCGCTCCGTGGGGTCAGAGCTCTTTTTAACCGTTTCAATACCGGGCAATTTTCCCCTTCCTGCCCCAGGCCATTTTTCAGGTTTCAGCGCTCTCACAATTTGAATGACAATTCCGCGGTCATACAACATTGTACCCAAACTAAAATTTTATCATTTTCTAAACACAACTAGAGCTTTCTTTTGGTGGTATTTAATCACCGCTGGGGTTTTTATTTTTTGCTAAATTAACAAAAAAAGACCAAAAATTTTGAAAAAAAAAAAAACCCCACATTTTTCTTTGTTTCTGTTATAAAAGTTTACAAATAAATAATTGTTCTTCATAAATTTAGGCCGAGATGTATTCTGCTACATGTCTTTGGTGAAAATAACCCAAATTAGGATGTATTATTTAGTTTGTAGGAAAGTTATAGAGTTCACAAACTATGGTATAGATCTGAATATTGATCAATCCTGAAGTACTGACAGCCAATCTAATTTCTTGAGGTCCAAGAATGTCAGGACAGTACAGATATCCCCCAAATGTCAGGACAGTACAGATATCCCCCAAATGTCAGAACAGTACAGATATCCCCCAAATGTCAGAACAGTACAGATATCCCCCCAAATGTCAGGACAGTACAGATATCCCCCAAATGTCAGGACAGTACAGATATCCTCCAAATGTCAGAACAGTACAGATATCCCCCAAATGTCAGGACAGTACAGATATCCTCCAAATGTCAGAACAGTACAGATATCCCCCAAATGTCAGGACAGTACAGATATCTCCAAATGTCAGAACAGTACAGATATCCCCCAAATGTCAGGACAGTACAGATATCCCCCAAATGTCAGGACGGTACATATATCCCCCAAATGTCAGGACAGTACAGATATCCTCCAAATGTCAGGACGGTACATATATCCCCCAAATGTCAGGACAGTACAGATATCCTCCAAATGTCAGGACAGTACAGATATCCCCCAAATGTCAGGACAGTACAGATATCCCTCCAAATGTCAGAACAGTACAGATATCCCCCAAATGTCAGGACGGTACAGATATCCCCAAATGTCAGAACAGTACAGATATCCCCCAAATGTCAGGACAGTACAGATATCCTCCAAATGTCAGAACAGTACAGATATCCCCCAAATGTCAGGACAGTACAGATATCCTCCAAATGTCAGGACAGTACAGATATCCCCAAATGTCAGAACAGTACAGATATCCCCCAAATGTCAGGACAGTACAGATATCCCCCAAATGTCAGAACAGTACAGATATCCTCCAAATGTCAGAACAGTACAGATATCCCCCAAATGTCAGGACGGTACAGATATCCCCCAAATGTCAGGACAGTACAGATATCCCCCAAATGTCAGGACAGTACAGATATCCCCCAAATGTCAGAATAGTACAGATATCCCCCAAATGACCCCTTTTTGCAGAGTAGACAGTCTGAGGTACTTCATAAGAGGAATGGCGAGTTTTTTGAAGTTGTATTTTTTTGTCATAATTTTTCGGAAAATGAAAAAATTAAAAAAATTATTTTCACTATTTTTTTTTTTTACATACTGTCACCAGTGCAGTACGGCGTCATCATATAACTGGCATGGCGGTGAACAGGGACACTGACTGGTGACAGTATGAAAAAAAAAAAATATATATATATTTTTTTTTTATATTTTTTTTTATTTTTTTATTATATTTAATTTTTTATTACATTTTTTTTTATTTTTTTAAGATTTTTTTTTCATATTTTACTATGACCAAAGTAGTACAATGTTACCATAGTAACATTGTACTACTTTGGGGAAGTGATCAGTGTTTTTTTTTTTTTTTTTTTACACAGTTTGCTTATAGCAAAGAATGACTTTGCTATAAGCCAGCATTTACCTGAATGACATCGATTCATTCAGCTTCTTTTTTTTTTTTGTGCTTAGCTGTGATTTGGTCACAGCTAATCACATGACATGTGCATGTGATTAGCTGTGACCATTCACAGCTAGGCACTAGTATACAATGGATGGCATCATGAATGAAGCCATCCATTGTATACAACTGTCATGTGACCTGCTGTGATTGGTCACAGCAGGTCACATGGTACCAGCGACGGGAGCCGGTACTCGGATCTGTCATCGGCCGTGTCCGAGGTGCACGGCTGGAGTTGAAAGATCGCACTGCTGCGCCGCTCTGCATTAGCGCAAACTGCGCATGTGCGGGAGCACGCCAAATGGTGTGCACCCGGAATGCAGGGACACAATTGAAGCCACCAAACGGCCATTGGCCGGGCGGCTAATGGTTAAAACCCAACTCCGACCAATGGCTGTTTCAATTTGGGGGGAGGGGGGGGGGGGGGGAGGGTATAACCCGTCTGTCCTTTATTTTCATAGTGCCGGTATTTTTATTAGACATTGTTTGGCCAAAAGTATGTGAACCCCCCAATGACCGGGGGGTTCAGGGGTCCCCAGTGAGGGGTCCAGGTAATCCTCCATCATACAAAGACATTGGAGACAATTGTCCTCTTCCAACCTTGTGGTAACAGTTTGGTGAAGACCCTTTTCTGTCGTCCCCCCCCCCCCCCCCCCCCCCCCCCCCCCCGTGTACAAAACCGGCTCCATAAAGACATGGAGGACCAGTTTAGTGTGGAGGAACTCCAGTGTCCTGTACAGAGTCCTGACCTCACCCTACTGAGCACCTTTAGGATGAATTGAAATGGTGGTTTGGATCAGAGGGGCAAATCCATATCAATGGTGCCCATGGGGGGGGGAGGAAGGAGAGCAGATCCATATGAATGGTGCCCATGGGGGGGGGGGGGGTGTAGGAGGAAGGAGAGCAGATCCATATGAATGGTGCCCATGGGGGGGGGGGGGGGGGTGTAGGAGGAAGGAGAGCAGATCCATATGAATGGTGCCCATGGGGGGGAGGGGGGGGGTGTAGGAGGAAGGAGAGCAGATCCATATGAATGGTGCCCATGGGGGGGGGGGGGGTGTAGGAGGAAGGAGAGCAGATCCATATGAATGGTGCCCATGGGGGGGGGGGGGGGGGTGTAGGAGGAAGGAGAGCAGATCCATATGAATGGTGGTGCCCATGGGGGGGGGGGGGGGGGGGGGGTGGGGTTGTAGGAGGAAGGAGGAGCAGATCCATAAGAATGGTGGTGCCCATGGGGGGGGGGGGGGGGGGGGGGGGGGGTGTGTAGGAGGAAGGAGAGCAGATCCATATGAATGGTGGTGCCCATGGGGGGGGGGGGGGGGGGGGGGTGTAGGAGGAAGGAGAGCAGATCCATAAGAATGGTGCCCATGGGGGGGGGGGGGGGGGGGTGTAGGAGGAAGGAGAGCAGATCCATATGAATGGTGGTGCCCATGGGGGGGGGGGGGGGTGTAGGAGGAAGGAGAGCAGATCCATATGAATGGTGGTGCCCATAGGGGGGGGGGGAGGAGAAGGAGATTCAGATCCACATCAATGGTGCCCATGGGGGGGGGAGGAAGGAGAGCAGATCCATGTGAATGGTGCCCATGGGGGGGGGGAGAAGGAGGGCAGGGATCCATATCAATGGCCATGACGGTGGGGGGGGGGGGGGGGCAGATCCATATCAGCCTAATTGACCGAACCCTCAGCAGAGTCCATGGCAGATGAGAATTTTTTTGTGGAAATGATCCTTCAAGCCTCTCATTGGACGTCCCATAGAGCCGCCCCATTCCATGCCTGGAGGACGCCCATTATCCAGCACTTTTCTCTCCCCAGCCCAAGGACTGCCCTGAGCTTGCCCCTCCTCCTCCCAAGAGCCCACCCACTGTATGCATCAGGACTGTGAGCTCTTGAGAGGAGTACTGAGGCAGGGTGCTGTGATGATTTTTTTAGGCAGCCCCTCCCACCAGCCATGATCTGCCTGCATTGCAAAGAGAAGCGCAGAGAGACCCAGTGATGACATCACTGGGTAGAAGATAAAAGGTATGTAATAAAAATGGAAAGGTTTTATTACCGGCGTTGGCGGGGGGAGGGGAGGACGACAAACATAAGCCGATGTGACCCATTCCCTCCTATAGACGTTCAGTGACTCCCTTCGTCTTGTCGCTGTTGGTGATTGGTGGAAAAGATATAACCGCATTTTCAGCATCCACTAGGCACGGGTAGTTGTCTTTGCCGTCCAATAGGTGGAGATATCTGCCAAATGGAAGGGAAAAAGAAAGAAAGAAAACCCCAAATCAAGATTGATGGCAGCCATGGCAACGGATATATAATCAATATATATCTAGCAGAATTGTATCCAGTGATGATAGATTGGCTGTGTGTGTAGCGCGCCACCTGTCACCCAGCTCCAGGATTGCACAAGGAAAAGAACTACAGGTCCCAGTCTGCTATGCAGCGTGCTCTGGGGATCCCTCCTCCTCCTCCTATGTAGTCCTGCCACAACTTCCTCCGTACAGACCTGAGGCTGCGGGGGGGGGGAAGGGGAACGACATTAATAAAGCCATTTCCCCCAGGACTCCAGTGCAATGCTCTGCAGGCTGCAGTGAACGCACTTCCATCCTGAGATCAACATGGCGGCATTGATTACCATTTTTCAAAAGACGGCGGGACCCTTCGTGGGATGTTTTAGTTCTGTATGCGCATGGCTCACAGTAAGTGGGTATAGCGCCCCCCTCTGAGAGCTGGGGGGGGGGGGGGGGGGGTCTGTCCAGCCCGACAGGCCATCACAGACACATGAATAAGGGATCAGCAGCTTGTTTTGCTGGTAACAATATATGGCGGGGGGAGGGGGAATGATCCGGTGTGTCAGGTATATGATCTGTACGCTCTGAGCACACGGATGAGACAGCGTTATACAATCCGGGATGTATGGAGAGACGGTTGTGAAGAGGCGGCAAGCACACACAAACCCGCGTACAACCCTCCGAGCCGCAGCAGCGTTCACCTATAACAAGGGAATGCATCATCTTCCATCAGAAGTCACTGGAGGAGGAGAACAGGAATCCGGCTCTGTACAACACCTCAACCATTCACCCGGCATTCACCCCCCCTCCCCCCGTTACATCACTCAACGTACAAAACCCATTCCCCCGGCATTCAACCCCCTCCCCCAATGTACAACCATTCACCGGCATTCACCCCCTGCCCCCCCAATGTACAAACCATTCACCCGGCATTTCACCCCTCCCCAAAACCAACCAATGTTCACCCCTCCCCCCATTTCATCGTCCCGGCATTCACCCCCTCCACCCCAATGTACAACCATCACACCGGCATTCACCCCTCCCCCCCAATGTACAACCATTCACCCGGCATTCACCCTATCCCCCAATGTACCATCGTACCACGCATTCCACCCCCCCAATGTCACCCATTCCCCCCAAATGTCACAAGCCCCAACTGTACCATTCACCCGGCATTTGCGACCCCTCCCCCCAATGTACAACCATTCACCCTGGCATTCACCCCTCCCCCCAATGTTCCATTCGCCCTCCCCCCAATGTAACAAATCCCCCGGCATTCAACCCCTCCCCCCAATGTACAGACCATTCACCCGGCAATTCACCCATCTCCCCCAATGTACCTTCGTCCCCCGGCACACCCCCTCCCCCCCATTACATCGTCCCCGGTCAACCCTCAACCATCGTCATCGTCCACCCGGATTTCACCCATGTACCATCGGTTCCCCCGCCCCAGTCACCCCCTCCACAATGTACCATCAGTCCCCGGCATTCACCCCTCCCCCGGCATGTTACAATCAGTCCCCCGGCATTCAACCCCTCCCCCCATGTCACCATCGTCCCCCGGCATTCACCCCCTCCCCCCAATGTACCAATCGTCAGGCCCGGCATTTCACCCCCTCCCCCCCCAATGTACAACCGGTCACACCGCATTCCCCTCCCCAAATGTTCCATTGTCCCCCGGCATTCACCCCCCTCCCCCCAATGTACATCGTCCCCCTCTCCCCCCAATGTCACCCCGGCATTCACCCCCTCCCCCCAATGTACCATCGTCCCCCGGCATTCACCCCCTCCCCCCAATGTACCATCGTCCCCCGGCATTCACCCCCTCCCCCAATGTACCATCGTCCCCCGGCATTCACCCCCTCCCCCCCCAATGTACCCAATCGTCCCCCGGCATCCCCCTCACATGCCCCATCTCCCCGGCATTTCACCCCTGTCCACCAATGTACCATCGTCCCCCCGGCATTCACCCCCTCCCCCCAATGCACCAATGTAATCGTCCCCCGGCATTCACCCCCTCCCCCAATGTACCATCGTCCCCCGGCATTCACCCTCCCCCCAATGTACCATCGTCCCCCGGGAATTCACCCCCTCCCCCAAAATGTACCATTGTTCCCCCGGCATTCAGCCCCCTGACCCCCCAATGTACAATCATGCCCCCGGCATTCACCCCTTCCCCCCAATGTACCATCGTCCCCGGCATTCACCCCCTCCCCCCCCCCCAATGTACAATCGTCCCCCGGTATTCACCCCTCCCCCCAATGTACCATTGTCCCCCGGCATTCACCCCCTCCCCCCCAATGTACAACCATTTCCCCCGGCAATTCACCCCCTCACCCCCCCAATGTACAACCATTCCCCCGGCATTCACCATTCCCCCATTCACCCCCCCCCCAATGTAAAACTATTCCCCCGGCATTCACCCCCTCCCCCCAATGTAAAACTATTCCCCCCGGCATCCACCCCCTTCCCCCAATGTACCATCGTCCCCCCGGCATTCACCCCCCCCCCCAATTGTACAATCATTCACCCGGCATTCACCCCCTCCCCCAATGTAATTGGCTGTCATGGAGGTCATGTGATCCAGAGTCTGCCCCAATCATACCCAGAGACTTGGATCTGTCTGGCCACGGCGGTCACCATGGAGGACTCAGCACATACCACAGATGGGCCACGCTGGAGTTCAGGCCGACACGCATGACAGGGCTGACTAGAGTTACACACAAACTCGCTCACACACGACATTCCCATCTACACCTCAACGCTGCGATATCTGCTGCACTTTACCGCCCCCCAGCAGGACTCATGGCGCAGTACTGACCTGTGCAGTCCGGAGACGTTCTGCCGTTTCTTTTGCTTCCTCTGTTCTTCCGCCTCAAACTGCAGCTGCCGCACCAACTCCTTGGCGTTTATCTCCTTCCGATTCAGCGGAACGATCTAGAAAGACAGAATCCTGAGGTCAGCGTATGTGAAACGGTCAGATTCCGAGGGGGGGGTCACCTCCCAACCTGATCCGGGTCCATGTGGATGTCGGTTGTACCTGTTGTAGGGGCCAGAAACAGGACGGAGCATTTTACTTTGTTTTACCCTAGCTAAAAAACTCACTGAGCGTGATCTCTGACCCCGAGCATGACCCCGGAGCCTAGCCGCGACCCCGGAGCCCAGCCGAGACCCCGGAGCCCAGCCGAGACCCCGAGCATGACCCCGGAGCCCAGCCGAGACCCCGGAGCCCAGCCGAGACCCCAGAGGAGCCCAGCCCCCGGAGCCCAGCCGCGACCCCGAGCATGACCCCGGAGCCCAGCCGCGACCCCGGAGCCCAGCCGCGACCCCGGAGCCCAGCCGAGACCCCGAGCATGACCCCGGAGCCCAGCCGCGACCCCGGAGCCCAGCCGCGACCCCGGAGCCCAGCCGCGACCCCGGAGCCCAGCCGCGACCCCGAGCATGACCCCGGAGCCCAGCCGAGACCCCGGAGCCCAGCCGCGACCCCGGAGCCCAGCCGAGACCCCGGAGCCCAGCCGAGACCCCGGAGCCCAGCCGAGACCCGAGCATGACCCCGGAGCCCAGCCGAGACCCCGGAGCCCAGCCGAGACCCCGGAGCCCAGCCGAGACCCCGGAGCCCAGCCGAGACCCCGGAGCCCAGCCGAGACCCCGAGCATGACCCGGAGCCCAGCCGCGACCCCGGAGCCCAGCCGTGACCCCGGAGCCCAGCCGTGACCCCGAGCATGACCCCGGAGCCCAGCCGCGACCCCGGAGCCCAGCCGCGACCCCGGAGCCCAGCCGCGACCCGAGCATGACCCCGGAGCCCAGCCGAGACCCCGGAGCCCAGCCGCGACCCCGGAGCCCAGCCGCGACCCCGGAGCCCAGCCGAGACCCCGGAGCCCAGCCGAGACCCCGGAGCCCAGCCGAGACCCCGGAGCCCAGCCGTGACCCTGAGCATGACTCCGGAGCCCAGCCGCGACCCCGAGCATGACCCCGGAGCCCAGCCGAGACCCCGGAGCCCAGCCGAGACCCCGGAGCCCAGCCGAGACCCCGGAGCCCAGCCGAGACCCCGGAGCCCAGCCTAGCCATCTTATTTTTATTGTTTACAAGGTTTTCCCCTAATAAGGAGAAAGTGTTTTTGTATCTTTTTCTCCATTCAATAGAACATTTAAAGGGGCGGGCTGTCCAGTGACCAATCGCTGCAATTGTCCATATCCTGTGATGGACAGCTGGGCCCCCCACTCCCAATCTTTAAACCCTCGCCCTCCAGAGGATTCCCCCTCCCCCTTCCTGACCAGGACATTTTTTGCGATACAGCGCTGCATTACTTTAACTGACAATTGCGCGGTCATGCAACGCTGTACATATATGAAATTTGTCTTTTTTTTTTTTTTTTAACCACAAAACAGAGCTTTTGGTGGTATTTGATCGCCTGTGCGGTTTTCGTTTCTTGCGCTATAAACAAAAATCAACAATTTTGAAAAAATATATTTTTGACTTTTTGTTATAAAACATTCAAAAAAAAAAAATCAAATTTCGTCATAAAAATTTTGGCCAAAATGTGTTCTGCTCCGTGTCTGCTAACAAAAAAAAAAAAATCCCAATCAGCGTAAAGTACGTGGTTTACGTGAAAATTATCGCATCTACAAATGGCGGGATAGATACTGGGGTGTTTTTATTTTTAAATATTAGTAACGGCGGCGATCAGCGACTTATAGCGGGGGGACTGCGGCGGGCATTCTGACACTGGGGAGATATGTGACGGGAGTGACTTTGGGTGGGGGGCCCATGGAACACAGCTCACTTTGGAGATGTGGGGAGACCCCTGTCTCAGCTCCCCATATCCCTATTATGTGTAAGTCACCCTGTGCCTGTTAGGGGTACAGGGGGATCTGTCCTCATATTGTGTAGGACATGTCTAGGAGATGGGGGGGGGGGGGGGTTGTGGATTGTTTGGTGTTATGTGGTTGCATCCCATTGTTCTATTGTGTGTCTTGCTTGGGAGCAAACTATTATGGGATGTATGTGTTTGTGTATTAGCTTGGTGGGGAGGGGGGGAAATGGGGGTGTCTCAGCAGCCCTCCCTCCTGATGGGACTGTCTGCTGGTGTGAAGTTTGAATTACCTGTGTGTCTCAATGTTACTAAATGTATATTGCCCCCCGCCCCGTGTCATTATGCAGGGAGGGGGGGGATTGCCCCGCCCCGTGTCATTATGCAGGGAGGGGGGATTGCCCCGCCCCGTGTCATTATGCAGGGAGGGGGGATTGCCCCGCCCCCGTGTCATGCAGGGATGGGGGATTGCCCCGCGTCATTATGCAGGGATGGGGGATTGCCCCGCCCCGTGTCATTATGCAGGGAGGGGGGATTGCCCCGCGTCATTATGCAGGGGAGGGGGGGGTTGTCCCGCCCCGTGTCATTATGCAGGGAGGGGGGGTTGCCTACCCTCTGTCATTATGCAGGGAGGGGGGATTGCCCCACCCTCTGTCATTATGCAGGGAGGGGGGATTGCCCCCGCCCCGTGTCATTATGCAGGGAGGGGGGATTGCCCCCTGAGTGTATAATATCTTGTATCTGTGTTCGAAATAAACTATTCTACTTCCTGGTTTACTTCAAATCTGGTGTCTGGATCTTGGGGTAACAAATAGCCGGATTTCACTGATCTCGTGTTCCAGAGCCTGAGAGAAGCAGATTCCTGACGGAGATACCCAGTCGTGGGTGTCTGGGGTCCGTTTACAGGGGGAACTGACTTGGTGTCACCGACATCCCCAGTGACACCAATACAGTGATCAGTGCTGATAAAAAGCCCCCGACACTGTACTAATGACACCGGGCAGGAAGGGGTTAACATCGGGGGGGGGGGGGGGGGGGGTAATGAAAAGGTTAGCTTGTGCTACTAGGGAGACATGCTCTGCAGAAAGATACACAGCAGCATGTCCTTGCTGGCAGCAGAGTGGTGTTTTACACACAGGTCTCTCCTCCAACGATTGCCGGAGGGGAATTCCGCTCTGGCCGGGACCCTGTGATCGACATCCCTAGCCGCCTATGGTGGCACAGGTAGGGCGGGGCCCCCGAAAATGCAAATCACAAACACACACACATGATTTTTGCGCAGCCTGCGGCAGTATTTCTGCTATGGGGCGGCAGGGGGGGGAAGCGGTTAATTCGAGGTCTAGAGCTCGGCCTGTGTTGGGGGAGAACGCTGTGCAGCTCCCAGCAAAACACATATGGGGATCCCCCCCGAAACATCCAGATCAGTGAGGCTGCAGATGTGCAAGGGTTAATTATTATTTTACTGTTAGGTTTAGGGTTTGTAACGGAACCGGAACCCGACTGCACTGAGTATTTCCGTTAGACCCCAATGTAAGGGACATTCTTCCCACTGACCCCCAATGTAAGGGACATTCTTCCCACTGACCCCCAATGTAAGGGACATTCTTCCCACTGACCCCCAATGTAAGGGACATTCTTCCCATTGACCCCCAATGTAAGGGACATTCTTCCCACTGACCCCCCAGTGTAAGGGACATTCTTCCCACTGACCCCCAATGTAAGGGACATTCTTCCCACTGACCTCCAATGTAAGGGACATTCTTCCCACTGACCCCAATGTAAGGGACATTCTTCCCACTGACCCCCAATGTAAGGGACATTCTTCCCACTGACCACCAATGTAAGGGACATTCTTCCCACCGATCCCCAATGTAAGGGACATTCTTCCCACCGATCCCCAATGTAAGGGACATTCTTCCCACCGACCCCCAATGTAAGGGACATTCCTCCCACCGACCCCCAATGTAAGGGACATTCTTCCCATTGACCACCAATGTAAGGGACATTCTTCCACTGACCCCAATGTAAGGGAATTCTTCCCACTGACCCCCAATGTAAGGGGACATTCTTCCACTGACCCCCAATGTAAGGGACGTTCTTCCCACTGACCCCCAATGTAAGGGACGTTCTTCCCACTGACCCCCAATGTAGGGGGGACGTTCTTCCCATGACCCCCAATGTAAGGGACGTTCTTTCCCACTGACCCCCAATGTAAGGGACGTTCTTCCCACTGACCCCCAATGTAAGGGACATTTTCCCACTGACCCCCAATGTAAGGGGCGTTCTTCCCACTGACCACCAATGTAAGGGACGTTCTTCCCACTGACCCCCCAATGTAAGGGACGTTCTTCCACTGACCACCAATGTAAGGGACGTTCTCCCCACTGACCCCCAATGTAAGGGACATTCTTCCCACTGATCCCCAATGTAAGGGACATTCTTCCCACTGATCCCCAATGTAAGGGACATTCTTCCCACTGACCCCCAATGTAAGGGACATTCTTCCCACTGACCCCCAATGTAAGGGACATTCTTCCCACTGACCCCCAATGTAAGGGACATTCTTCCCACTGACCCCAATGTAAGGGACATTCTTCCCACTGGACCACCAATGTAAGGGACATTCTTCCCACTGACCCCCAATGTAAGGGACATTCTTCCCACTGACCCCCAATGTAAGGGGGACATTCTTCCCACTGACCCCCAATGTAAGGGACATTCTTCCCACTGACCCCAATGTAAGGGACATTCTTCCCACTGATCACCAATGTAAGGGACATTCTTCCCACTGACCCCCAATGTAAGGGGACATTCTTCCCATTGACCCCCAATGTAAGGGACATTCTTCCCACTGACCCCCAATGTAAGGGACATTCTTCCCACTGACCACCAATGTAAGGGACATTCTTCCCACTGATCACCAATGTAAGGGACATTCTTCCCACTGACCCCAATGTAAGGGACATTCTTCCCACTGACCCCCAATGTAAGGGACATTCCTCCCACTGACCCCCAATGTAAGTGACATTCTTCCCACTGACTAGCCGTTTGTTTTCCTCCGGTACATCCTGACTACGTGTGTTGGGTGATGGGAGCGGTCGGGTGGATGTGTGTTGTCGCTCGGCTT